ATCAAATAAAATAATTAGATAATTAATAAGATTCATTTATAGCTATAATGTTATATTATTTTTAATTTCTTAATTTATATATATAAAAGAAAATTAAATGTATAACTAGTTAATTAGTTAATGCCCTCACATTGTATAAATGCCATTTCTATATTTCACTGGATCTGCATATTATTATTATTATTATTATTATTAGACAGCATTCGGGAAAATTATTAATTTAATTACATTTTAAAATATATTTTAACTTTGTATATATTTCTTTAATTTCATGATCGTGCTAGTTTTTTCATATCGTACGTCCTTAGAGATATAATTTATACCTCGGTACAGCAGTACGTGGCCGTTGTTTAATATCATTCTTTTAATCAATAAAGAAACAATATAAGAAGTAATGAATTAAATGAATTAGTCTACAAATTACTAATGAGATTTAAATGGAATTGCGTAACAGTTATCGTTAGCATTAAAATCTATTTAGGGTAATATAACGGGAGTTGTACCACGCATGTGATAAGCCGTAAGTAAATTTTGTTGGTATTCGTTTCACTGTACATATTATTATAATATCAAATCATATTAACGAATTTTAAGACTGTGAAGAATAATTATTGTAATTATAGGGTAAATAATATATAGAGTTTTATTTCAGAGGTTTGATAAAAATAATATATAATATATATATGATATACATATCCATAAGAAGAAATATAATTTTACAAATATTTATGTTTTAATTTGCTGAAAATGTAAAACAAAACGTGACACAAAATTTTAAACTGAATATTTAATTAATTCATGTATTGTTTTTTATTGCATTACACTCAAAGATTTAAATTTAGCTTCAGAATTTAGAAAATATTATTTTTTGTAGTTTTTCATTTAATCATAATTTAATATAATATTATGAATTTATGAATATATAAAGCAATAATCTAAAAAGTATACATACATTGATATTATAATATACAAAAACAAAATAATATAATTTTCTAAACTTATTTAATCAAATTTAAAATTGAACATAAAAAAAAAACGAACAGTGCTACGAAAAACAATAAAAAAAATTATCTTAAAATGATATCGCATTGTTCTTAAGGTTTCTAGTTATTGGAAAAATAATAGGTTATCTTCACTTATTTATAAATTTAAACATTTGACCATACATTATAACCTGTTAAGCCATTTAAATTTATTGATTCGAAGAGATAATAAAATATAATACCAATGCGCATATAAAATATTTAATTTTAAAAATGTTCCTAGACATTTCGAAATGGAGGGGCGGCCGTCTCTTCAGACATCCTAATAAATACGTTTTTGCATTACGACAAACATTATTTTATATAATGCCTATTTTAATTGTATTTAGTTTAGTTGCAGTACATAAAACGACGAATAAAACTTGCTAAATATTTTTATCGTACAATTGCATTGGGCAAGTGTATTTAATAATGAGCTTCATTAATCAACCGGTGGTGCCGCAGTTGAGTCTGCGTGTGTCCACAATACCGGTGCAATGGATAGACAGACCACCAAACTCATTCACTTTCTAACTAGAGTCACGCGTTATAGTTACTCGTTAATCAATCGGTTCTGTTTTTTAAATGGACGACTTGACAAGTGGTTTTGAATCGATCGACGTGGTCGTTATTTTTCACATCTCGCGAACATATGACGATGTAGCTCGCATAACTATATTATGTATTAAAAAACTAAATACTGTCATCGGTGCCCCCGCAACGCGTGATGTAATGATATCATATTATGTTATACGTACATATAAAAAGTAAAAATCGCATTGATGTAATGTGAACCCACATAATATAATATTATAGGTAGTATTATTATCAGTGCCGCAACCGTGGGTGCATCAAATTTATATCCCATGATTTGGATTTCAAAGAAAAACAATTTACAACATACAACTTAAAAATGTATGTTTTATTCGTGACATTTTAGAAAAATCGTGTATTTTATAAATTAATAGTCCCTGACAACATTCCTATGACGTTATTATTAAAATATTATGAGTACCACAGTGTAGTATATTATGTAATATAAAATTGTAAAATATGCATTTAGTTTTGTAAAAGAATACTAACATATCCGAACTAAATTTGATAAAATATATAAACAAATTTCTATTTTGGCATTTTTAATACAGTTCTTTTGAATAAATAAATCATAAAATACTCATAATTTACTCCGTACCTATTGTACAAGGATTATAGATGTTCGATGAAAATAAATGTGTATATATATTCGTAACAGAGGTATATCGTCCAGATTTGAATAAAAAAGGTTCAATTATTCATTTAACTAGTAGTTTTCAAACTATTTTTTCTCATGACAATATTTTGTTGGCTATTAAGAGGCACCTAAAGCTCAATTTCAATATATATATATTTTATTGTACCTATACTTGTCTATAGGTATTTATTTTTATTTTTTGTAACTGTTTATAGCATATTTTCATAGTGAACTGTACAGCACACCTTTTGGGAAATATTAAATGTATTAGAAATTAGACAATATATTATGGATCAATGGGTTATATATTTAAAAAATACTCTAAGATGGTCGATAGTTAAATCGCATGAATTATGATATTTATATATACAAAATTACAAATAATTGAAAATTCATAAAAATTTATATTTTAATATTAAATTTGCCAATATAGTACTATTAGTCTATATGAGGGTTAATATATAATTACAATAATAGTTTAGAATTGATGTGTTATAAATAATACAAATAAAGCCTAGGTATATACAAAATACTTGTAAATTACTGACGATGATTAAATTGATAATCAATAATCATATAGAGTATGTTATTTTCACTACTTACCTAGTATTTTTTATAGCTAGATTAAAGGTAATTAGCAGTACACAATTTTAATCATTTAGTTTATATTGATATATCCATTTAACGTATAATCACTATATTCATTGACATTTATAAATTTTATATTATTGATAACGCAATTTTATTATAAAATTTAATCCATGCATAATATCTCATCCACACATAATATTACTATGCTACACTACAGTTTTAGTATTATTATGTAGATAGATACCGAATTGATAAAATTGTTCCAGTAGTGTTTCAACAACAATAGTAACGAACAAATTCAACACTGTGAAATGTTTAATTTGAACCAATTGTTGTACATAGGTAATCAAAGTAAAATATACAATGAAAATGAAATAACATTTTTTTCAATAAGTTTATTTTACATTTTATAATACAATATAATATTTTCTATTATATATAAAACTAAAAAAAACATTTTATCTGAGTATCTACTACCGTCTAACTTTTTTATTTGTTTTATATTCAATAAAATAGGCGTAGAGAGTCAAATTATTTTTTTAATAATTTATTATCTATAACAAACAGCTCTAATTATTGTAATATTGATATTCATAAATATTTAATTGATATTTTAAAGATAACGATATAGTTAATATAAATCAACCGCGTTTTTTAGTGATTATTTAACAAATTTTTATATTTTTTTTTCTATAGTAGATTTAACAAGAATAATTCAACTGAATAATATATATTTACGCTATATGCGTAGGATCTTTTGCAATAATAATCTATATTAGTTTTATGTAAATCATATTAGTCATTTTTTTATAATTAATATTTTATAGCTTATAAAAAAATATTCTAAACATTTTCAACATATACATAGTTTATAATATTATATTATACCACGATGGAAAAAAAGTGGTAATTTAAAATTTGTTACCAATCTATAATAAGTGCAGCAATGCCGTTTTTAATAAATTGTTATTAAATATAATATATATAACATGTTAATAATAATAAACAATTATTATGATTATTATTATAATAATATAACACTTTAATTCGTCGATACATCTGGATGTCGTAATAACACGCGCTTTGATATTATTATTACGGTCGTCGTCGTAATAATAATATGTCTGTAGGTAGTGTTGCAAATTGAGAAAAGTTACTCTATTCTGCCTACATTTGTTTTTTTTTTATACACTAACCCATTATCATGTATTTTAACCGGCAGTTATAATATTTTGATTGGATTTTTTGTACAAAAATATTCCGTTGGTAACAAAGCAGCTTTATGCACTCAAAATCGACGTGCAGTTAATATCTTAACTAACAGTTTTACCTACGTATGACGAGTATTATTTATATCTTTTTTCTTTTTTTTTTTTAAATATACCATTTATATTTCCGTGGGATCGTGATTGATCGATTGCTGTTTTATCGGAAAATGATTTTGATTCATTTTCCTTACGATTAAATAATAATATTTGTATGCTTGTATACTATATAGTATATACATTGTAGTGTTCATCGGAAATGACTGCAAGTTACGTAAGTCGCTAGAGTTTCCGTCGTTCAATTGTGTATCTATATATATTTACTGTTCTCATATATTTTAAGCATGATAAAATATTGTGTGTCGTACAAAAATATAAATAAATTGAAATTTATTTTTAAGTGAACAAATTGAACCTTTATTTGTATTCCGACATTTATTTTTGATGTTCAAGTAAATGTAATTTGTTCATTTTTATTACGAAAATAACATCATAATAGATTTGAATATATTATGTATAATGGATGTATAAAGAATGAAAATACACAACATAAATGAGTTATAATATACATAAACACACGCATATTTGGTTTTAATATTTTGCAGTCTTGTAGGTACATGTAAGTTATAACATATTATTATTATTACTTTCTTGTTTATTTCTTTCTCGGAAAAGTTTCAAACCATACATTCATAAAATTATAATAAATGCAACATTCTATTTATACTTTTTATTTAATAAAAATATAAAATGTGCAATTTTTAATAATAATGCCATTCCCAAAACGTTACGTCTAACCGATTGTTATATACAATCACACCTCTAAGAAACATAGATGTATAAGTTATATAGATTGTTGGTATTAAAATTGTCCGTGTTTGATTTCCGCAGGGTGAAGATAACGTCGAATATTATTTGGGTTTGACACCGACCGGAGTGATCGTACTCCGAAACAAAAATATCGTCGCAAACTATTACTGGTGAGTTACTTGCCGCTGCAATATATTTTATTACTTTGTTATGATTTAGTCATAATTTCAATTTTAATTTTAATTGACAAATACGTGTTTTCAGGCCCAGGATCACCAAGATTTTCAGCAAAGGAAAATATTTCATGCTTAGAGTGTGTGACAAAAATGTAAGCACACACAAACGTTCATATACGTCTCGTTTTATAGCGCTTTAATAATTATTATCTATTAAATAGTATAACACGTGTATTGTCTGGCCGAACCGAGGGATCGTTTCGACCAGATTATCACGGTAAGAAAACATTGCAACATACAGTTAATATTGTTATATAGTCAGAGTATTATTATTATAGTTTCTAAATAAAGACAATTCAATAAATTCATCTAATTCTCTGTGAGATTGTTAATAGCTGTCTAGACTTAAGGAGTGAGTGTATCGATCAACTAACTGCGGGGAAAATACGTTTCGACGCATTTGCCCAAAACAGAACACTTTAGGGCATAAATTCATACAACGTTTGGGCGTAATATTTCCCTTCATAAAAACACGTTTGGGCAGATATATTTTTTGCATATATCAGTATATTATACTAAATCTGAGCCTATTAGCTTTACCCAGAAGACACAACGAGGAAATAGTCTTTTAATCATATTTAAATTTATATTTTAAATATCCTAATTTAATATTTTTATTTAAATTTATTAATATAATTGCATAATATTCTATTAATTAATTAATTTTTTGCCGCATAACGAGGTCCGAATGCTTTTATGTGATCTAGTATATTTTTTTCAATTTCATACGTTTCCCAACACGCTTTAACAAACGTTTGTTTTTCTTAGGTTTCTTCTTTTAATTTAACTTTCGATTAATAGTAATAGCAATATTCAATATTGTACCCAAACGTGCTTTTAATAAATGCGCCCAAACGTGTTAATGATTTTCAGGCATTTTTTTCAAACTGCACCCAAACGGGTAATCGTCCTAACTGCAACACCTCTCTCTCTGATTCTTTAACACAAATCTTGCACTGGTACTCGAGTAGTTTGATTTTTATTAACGTATAGGTCTTTCAATGATGCGCAATATCTTTATTTTATAGAATGTATTGAATTGTCTCTTTTTACAGAATTAATTTTCGAAACTATAATACTCAATTTGACTTAATACTATTTATATCACAATTTATTAGTATATCCACTCTGTGTTGTGATGCTATTTTTCTCGGTCTGTGTACGTACGGGTGCCAGATCTTTCACGCTTGATCAGCTCTGATACCTTCTTCCTGGTTCCCCGTGACATGATATACACATGTGATGTAAGTCACAGAGTAGGTCATGACGTCGCAATATTAATATTGTAAAATACTATACAATTAGGTATTCAATATGTAATCTGACCTAATCGAGGAAACGTTTAAAATACTCGTATTTTAATTATTGGAGCGCTCGTCTAATAACAATGATAAAAATAATGGTGATGACGATATTTGCAGAACGACGAGAATACTTACGGGTTTGAAACGCCCTCGAGACCGGCGTGTAAACATCTGTACAAGTGCAGCATGGAACATCATTCATTCTTCAGACTAGTACAAGTGTCGCCCAACCCTCCGGACGTCATAAGCACTCGATTTAGCAGGTTTGAAATGCACCTCACAAGAGAATATTATATTATTCAATTACATTAATTGTGTTATGCGTACCACACTCACATTAAACATACGTGATATATAATGATTATTATCATGTGTGTACATTGTACGTCATAATGTAATATAGTTTTGCTGTAGCCGTCGTATGCCACGATATATCACACTTATATATATATATAGTGTTATTATGACGATGAAGAAAACTAAAAATTATAAGCACGTTTCATATTATAGTAATACACTATATCGTACGCAATTTTTTTTCTTTAGTCTTACAAAAAAAAAAAAAATTAAAAAAAAAAACATTTTATTGACGTTTTAAACATCTTCATAATATGCATGCATTATTAATGGGCATGGCCGTTTTCGACCAAAAACGTACCCTTCTCTTTTCGGCCGATTCATTTTTCAACCAAAATAAAATTTTATATAATATATGTAAAAAAATAAAAATATTAGTATCAAATTTTCGTAAAATTAGGGCAATTATATAATTATATAACTTTGAAAATGATTAAAAGTTTTAAATGCATAAAATGTTGTAAAATAAAATGTAGAAAATGATTTAAAATATAAGAATATTTATATTTTAAAATCATTTTTATGTTATATGTCACAATATGTAATACTTAATTATAATATTATATAAAAAAAATAAAATTTAAACTATAATAATATATGAATAGGTTTGTGACATATAAACATAAAAATAATATTAATACATAGATATTCTTACATTTTAAATAATTTTCCACATTTTATTTTATAAAATTTTAATTTTTTTAAATTTGTAATCATTTTCAAAGTTATATAATTACATAATTGCCTTAATTTTACGAAAATTTGATACCAATTATTTTATTTTTTACATATATTATATACAATTTTGTTTTGGCCGAAAAGGGAATCAGTTTATTTTAAATTTGGTCAAAAAGTGAATCGGCCGAAAAAGAAAGGGTCCGTTTTTGATCAATAATGTTCTCGCCCTTATCAAAAATATATAAATGGTAGTCGGTGAGGGCTCGCGGTATATAAAGCTAGCCGTAGTGAGCTAGCTGGACGAATAAACGGCGGTATTTCGTTTTTCATGGCATCATAATTGTTCAGGATATTCCCACCCGAAGATATTTCTAAAGAAATAAATCCCCTAGTCATACTGTATGTAGGTATAGTTTATTCCACGCCACATTATATGCGTAAGTTTATATAATATATAGGTATTGCTATGTAATGTATGTATAATATCTGCGCCCCATCTCCTAGTGCATCATATATATTTTACTACTATACCTATTCTATTATGATGTATATTTTAATTATTACTGCCACTGTATACTGTTATTGCGCTAAGACTATATAATACTGTTCATATTGTTTATTGTTGTCTACCCTACAACTACAGTCGTCACAATTATTAATATTGCCGTTCGAAAGCTGCGCATAATAATTTAATGTAATGGATACGATTCAAAATATAATTATGAAAATTATATCTACTACGTTTTGTTCTACCATTGTACATAAGCATGTATGGGGACATAGGTATATAATCTATTAATATATTATACAATTTTAACAGCTTTCGCAATATTAAGTGTTTTTAAATGTGTTTTTTTAACCATAATATCTTTACGATGATTTGTTGATTTTTTAATAATGATTAGGTTTCATATGATCTTGCATTAAAAAATGCTTTGATAATATGTATGCGTTTGTTTATAATTATTTTTATTGTATTTGCGAGTCTACTGTTATTTTTAATTCGTAATTTATAAATCTACGTACTAATTCACATTTTTGAAATGCAGATATGAAGTATTTTTAAATTTTTTAAACAAATGTAGTTTAACTCATAGATTGCTTTAAAACGATTAATAAAATGTTAACACTTAAAAAATGTAAATGCTCTATTAATGAAAAAATGCATTATCATGCCAAAATATACCAATATTATGCAATATGAAATTTAATAAATTGGATTCAGTCACCTTGAAGTAAATTTTTAAGTTATGTAATACACAGGTATATCATGTAATCGTTTAGAAAAATTTATATGTAAATGCATGAATACTTACGAGCCTGCAGATAATAATCATATTTTATCAAATATCAATCCTGTCATTGCAGTTTAGTAGTGCTTATGACTTATTATGCACTAATATATATATATTATGTGCGTTTATCGTTATTAAATTTAAGTTATATGGCGAGTGTCATCATCGAAAACTAAACCCTATTATATAGCCTAATCACGAGGCTTCGTTTTATCAATACCTGTAATGCCTATAGTTTATTTTTATTTATATGTACTTCAGGTGATAATCATTGAAGCACGTATTATTTTAGACCGTTAAATTAATCGGTCAATAATTTTCCATGAACGTTTAAAAAATATAAATACTATTATAATCCATTGTTTCTAAAGACCAGAATAATATGATAAAATTATAAACATTTGCATTGAATAATCGTCAATACATTTCAGCATCAACGAGAACAAAACATTATTAAATATTTATCGATGAGAATTTTTTTTCATTGCAATTGTATATTTTATAAATCTATTATCCATGTACAATACATTTTTCGCTGCATAGTATAATCGTATAATCTAATATCAATGTGATAATTCTAGAAGTAATATTATGAAACTAAATTTTCAAAATTTTATAATATTTTATTCATTTTTTGATAAAACATTTTTTATAGGAAGAGTTTTTATGCTTTTTTTTATAGTCATTAAAAAATTATTATTTTTAACTCCTACTAACTAATTATACATCAGTAACGTATAACTTAAAACCCTTGTAATTCAAAATATTAATTAAAAAATGTATTTGGATAGCGCGATAAAGTTGTTTTCCAACATCCTTTGAGCTTCTTTCCTGTGATGAAACACATCTCAATTAAACAGTAAATAAATAGTAGATATTATTTTATTTTATTACGTATTAATAATACATTGATATACCAAAAAATAAAAAATAAATATATTTATGTAAAATTTTTTTAAAACACAATGTCAATACCTAATTTATACAATTTTTTAATTTTTATAATAATCAATAAGTATTTTAATATATTATTTATTTATTTTTTTTTTTTGGTTTTATTGTTTAGTGGTCGGGCTGACAAGTCATCAGTGAGGAGTTCGCAGATGAGCAACAGAACGCCGCCTTCGTTTACAAGGACACCTAGTCGCCGCTATCAGAGGAGAATCGTCGAAGGATCCAACGATAGTGAGTACTGTACTTATGGCAATACGCCAAACTTCTATGAATTGTTAACCTCCATTTTTTATGATAATTCAAATGTGGTTTTTTGAAACTTTGAAATACGTCATATTTAAGACTTAATTTACATTACTTAGATTTGTTTATCGTTTAAATCAGTTGTATATGTTATTCTTCATATACAAAGTTAAAAACTGACAAACTGTTTGAATTTCGATTTTTTTCTCCTATATTTAAAAAAAAGAAAAAAGAATCATCAACTAAATAACTTATGAAAAAGGGGTAGTTTATTAAAAAAAATTAGGTTTGTACCACACATGAAACTCCTTAATATTAATTGGTATAAGTAATATTAGTATTCAAAAATATGATATATATAATATTGTACTTTAAATATCAGAATAAAATATACATTATTTTCATTATTGAAGTATAAAATGGGTGTATGGCCCCACTCTGTGTACTCCCGCATACTCCCTATATTGTTATGACGATCGTGTTATAGGTACACAAACTAATTTGGCATTTTACAACGAGCTAATTTTCAAAGCGTCACTAGAATCTCGAATTCGTTAGGGCTTTTTTTCTTTTTAATTAACCTAGACAATACATAGCACTTCAGCTTTAGACTTCGAGTCTGAAGTAGTATAATTAAAATAAAATATTGTGACTAGGTATATAACATAATATTGTATAACCAACAATACGCTCGAATGGCGTAGACTTTTTTATATTTTTACTCACTGAATCTCCGCATACATATTACACACGATCAAATGTGCATGGTGCGTTCATTATATATTATTACCCAACTACCGGTTAATTTCGTATTTTATTCTTAAGAACCGTGAAAATACTTTAAACGTCGTGCAAAAGGAATACTTTATTATAACGCGTGCGTATCCCTGATTTTAATACGCCGCGCACACACTGTTAGTACATAATATAATATTATATAAACATTAGGTAGGTACCTACCTATAATACGGACTTTTAAGTTTTGTGATCTTTTCAGAATAAAAAATAATAATAGAAAAAAAAATACCATTCGGTCTCTTCAAAAAACGGCAGTTAACAAGATATCTTTATAATACGAAATATTATACTTAAAATGTAATAATTTTATATTTATCATAAACCCGGCTGCAAATATAAATATTCCTATCGAATTCGTTGTCGATTGTAATAGCGTGCTTGAATACACATGTTTCCGGTACGTTTAATTGAATAACAATACTATTTACTTCTCGGGTACGCGAATTAATAATAATTATAAAAACATCATCGCATCTACCCACGCACATTCATCTCGAATGATACACACAAAAACTGTGTTCCACAGTCTGTAGCCATTTTTATTTATTATTATTATCCTTGTTATTTAGGTACAATTTACCTACCAATTAATAGTTAATTTAAGTGCATGAATCTATATCATAAGACTCTTCGAGTATCTATATTGTTACATAACTGTATAATGAACAGGTAATATTAATAAGACCTATCTCCGTCATTACGCGTTTTATGTATTTTTATTGTATCGTTGCAAATTATCCTGCACAGTGTAAATGTATAATAATAATTGCCCAGATTCCGATCGATTAATATAATAATAGTAATAATAAATACATATTTTGCATTATACCACATCAAGTACGTTTATATGCACCATTCGATAAAACCAATGGACAACTTGTATGTGTGTAGAGAGAGTCGATATCATGTTCTATACCTACAACATACCTATAATTATTATAATAAACGCATAATTCATTTTTTTTTCTGTACATTTTTTATACCCGAGTTTTGGTATATTATTTTATATAGATAAGTATTCAATAATATTGGATTCGTGAAAAATCGTTTAGAAACAAAAAACACATATCCAACGAGTTTTGAGTTTATCAAAATCATTGTTCTGAAATTTGGTAAATTTGGTAATTCTACACCCAAGGATATACACCTTGAAGCCAAATTTTTAAATTTTCCATTTTAAAAATGAGCTTACATAAGACATTATTAGATCACGAAAAAAGAATTTTTCTTTTTTAGCTATAAGTTAGAGAAAATAAAATAACGATGATTATGATTTGATATTGTTTTAAATCGAAATTTTATACTCAGTCAAAAAAACTCAAAACCTCAAAAAGTTTATGTTAAAGATATGTATAGTTTAAATTTAAAGAAGTTTAAGACAAGTTAAATCCGATGAAATTATTTAATTTGTCTCGGGTAATACCGTGCAGGATAAGCCAGTACCTAATTATTATATAATACATAATTAAATCTAGGACATCGCAATTTGTTATGTAAAGAAAACGATATCATGTCATGATAGTTTATTTATATTATTACGATAGCATGAGATTCGTTTATACCTAAAAACTCAAATCGTAATTTAATTTTTTTGGAAATTCTTTATTTAACTAAATACAATTATTCATAATCAAAAATTCAAAAATTGTTACTTTAGTCTTACATCCAATATTTTTTTTTTTTTTTATCATTTGGGGAGCTGGATCTGACCTGATTTTGCTGACATTCCATATTCAAAATGTTAAACTCAATTTTTTCTAAAAAATTAGTATTCAATAAGTGACCATTTGTAACCAAAAATCTGAAACATGTAAGCTAAATCCTCTTTCTACAGAAGTTAATATTTATATTATTTTATGTTAACGAATCTGACAGGATTTATTATTATATTTAATGATGTTATTCTGTAGCCTGCCCCGTGCCGCAAAAAAATCCTTAAGACGCTTAATTATGTGACAAATTAAATTAAATTAATTATTAAATTACACATAGATATGTCAAAATTAGTCAATGATCAAAATTTATTCAGATTTTCATCTATAATTTTCGACTTTTCGTTGTATTAGATAAAGTTTGAATAAAAATCTCTGTAAACTGATAAACGGCAAATGCGGTCAATTATTTTGAGTTAGCGTGCGTATTGGATTGACAGAATGATTTATAATTTAAAATCCGACACGCGAAATGTATAAAAAATGTCAGCAATACATTAAGACTCGTTGTTAGCTCACTGAGTGAAATAATATTACACATCGCTCTTAAGGTACTATACTTATGAGTAATACATCGTATGTTTTTGTCCCAAAAATTGTTCGTAGGTATACGTTTTTTAAAAATCACATCATCGCTGTGGGTGTCATCGAATATGCTCATCTCCATTTTATTTTTTAATAATGTAGTTATTTAAAAAATTATTTGTGTATTATGGTGCTTACTTAAAAACCATGTTTTTAGATAGATACCTACTTAAGTTTTTATATTATTTAAAGAGACAAATTTTTTTTTCTTAAATGTGTGCCACCATTTTTATTATATATTTTTGAACAGAACTGATGATCTTTGATGTATCTAAATTTAAATTTTAACGAGTTTTTTCTTTATTATTAAAATATAATATATATATATATATATTATATTGTGAGATAGCGCACTAATTCTATGCACCCTTGCGTGATATCCTCTTATAGTCGACCTGGTTTCGATGGGAGAATGTTGAGTAATGATGCGCAGAACAACTGATTTTCTTCGGTCCATGGTGTGTTCTCTTGCTGGACAGAATATCATGATTAGCTTAAACATTTACATTAAAAAGATGGTTCTCATTTATAAAAATAAAAAATAGTTTATATAACTACCACAATTAGTCTTTAAAGGCATAAAAAAATGTAAGTGCTTATTTGAAAATATGGTACTAAGATCAAAAGGTTAAACATTTTCTTAAGAATATCTAAATAAATGAATAAATAAATGCATAAAATATAAAAATAAATGCATTATAAAATGAAACAAAAACGGAGGTGAGCATGCCCGTTGAATCATTCTATAATATTTATGTATTACCTTTACGTGAGCGACGGCGTGTGTTATGGCTCGTTGAGAAAATAAAAAAATACAAAAAAATCGATCGTTTGGCATCTAATCTCCTAGGAATTCCTACTCGATTACCATGTAATTTATTATTATGATAGTATAACATGTGCAGTTAATTGCGTTGCGTAGAAATAGTTATAATCATTACGCAATAAGACATACCTATATATTTATTCTTATTTTATTATGAATATCTCAGCATACAGGGCGGACGGCTGGTTATTATTATAAGCAGTGACCTCATGTATAATAATATTAATAATTCAGTTTATATTAACGGGATATGTATTGTATTAAATTGCAACCAAAGAATATATAATATTTACAACAGTAATAACATAAAATACAAATTGTGATATCCTCATCACCAGGCCCGGATTTATAGTAAAATTGACTTAAGTTTTTAAAGTTAACACTATTAACAGATCTAATTTCAAAACCAATTTTTGATCAGTTTTTAAAATATTTAACGACAAAAATATTCATAATATACACATCATAGTTTACTGATGCCATGAAAAATTAAAAAATTTTTAATAATCAAACATTTTCTATCATCTTTTATTAAATAGAAAAAAAAATAGAAAATTAAATTAAATAAAAATAAAAATAAAAAAAACGATAATAATTATTACAGTTGAAATTCATATTTATTTTTTTGCGATTGAAAAATATGAAGAGCATAAGTCTTAAGCCTATTAATACTTTCGAGTAATCCAGCTCTGCTCACCACTGATTGTACTAAACAATAATTGCTTAAAATAATAACATTAAAACATAATAATATGACAAATCTTATGAATTTTAATGATTACATCAATACAAAAATAAAATACTATTGAAATTATTTGAATTAAAATTTATTATTGAATTAAAAGTTTGGTATATTATAACAGATAATTGCATTTTTTTTCTTTCTCACAATTCATAAACTATTTCTACAACCACATAAATCCAATATGATGATAATTAAATCTTAGATCATAGTATACCTTGGTGTATAAAAGGTATAGGGGATATCCTATTCAAGTAGATAATAATATTTATGAGCGCATCTCAAAATTGTCATAGTCGTAAAGCATTTTTAATTCATTATACATTTCTTATTTTTCACATAGATCAACATTTTGGAGATGAGTACAAGACCAGAGAAGAACTGATGATGTCTTCGTCGTTGAAACCGCAAGATAAGCTGAAAAACTGTTCCAATCCCCAATTGCCCGTCCACACGTACGTAAATTTAAAACTAGTATTTACAATCGTGTCCGAGTGTAAACCATGAATTGTTAAAAAAATTAAGTTTATCTATGCCCTCAATATAGAATGTACATACCAAACCGGAGCGATTCTCCGAGAAGCACTAGAAGCGCACCGTGGGGTGTTTGGTCGAGCGCCCCGACGCGGGGCTTGTATTCGAGTAGCTCGCCAAGAAGTGTTCGATCCGGTCCTCATCAAATCATGCGTCACGCCCGCCGGTCATCCAGTGTGGACAGCCAGAGTTCTAATGACTCAAGATCGTGTCGCAAGTACGTATTTTTTTATCATAAAATACAATTTAATACGATTATCCCGTTAACACGTTTATACATTAACCTAACCAAACCCAACCAAATTTATTTAGTTATTTTTTAAGCTAGCGGTATTATTGATATATTAATATCAGTATAAAAGGGTATATAGCCAGCAGTTATGATATTAAACAATTTTTATTCAATAATTCGGTATTTTATATATTTTTTATATATTTTTTTTCGGTATTTGGTACTTAATTATGTATTTTTTTGCTTAATTTATAAATTTATATTATTTTTTTTTATTATTAATTCTGGTTTATTCCGTGATATTTTTAATTTATCGAAAGTATCGTCCTAAGTAACCTTTAAAGTCCAAAATTAAATTGCAAACATAAAATTGGTAATTGTTTTTTTTCACTATAATTTAAAATTGAATCTATATCAAAATTTGTATAAAAAACGTCATTAAGCTTATCTAGTGATTAATAATTATCAGATGCCGCTGCACATGCTGCATGGTGGTTAGTGTCTCGCAGAGGTTCATAGCGAGTTGGTTTTTATTGGTACGGTATGAACTAGACCGCTGGTAATTTAGGATTGCAAGTTACCCGTTAGTCATTATCTTAATCTAATAAATTTAGAAAAATCAACAATTATTATTATTTTCTATGATCAGTGCAATTATATAATTACCTATAATTAACATTTTTTGTATATACAGAAATAATATTTAGTTTTGTTATGGATTTTGAAATGTTAATACAAGATATCGGAAACATTGCAATATTTAAGGGAATGATGGATAATTCTTTTTTATTTCTACCAATATTTTTATTCCAAGGTATGAATCAGTAAAATAATAAATTAATCAAAGTGTCGCACTGCAGTTTTTTTTTACAAATATTTATATTATATGTCTCGTGTAGGCCGTGTGGCTTATAGGTTATTTTCAAATACCTGTAATAATTTATATTTATTGTCGAGTCCAATATTTTTCAATACAATATTGACATAATTTTTAAACAAATAAATAAAAAAAAAAAAAATCAAATCATATCGTTGACCATCACAGTGATGAGTGATGACGTTACTGCTTCTACAGTCAACACTAGTTGTACGAGTTACAGCTTTTATTAACTGTAGTATTATATTTATAGTATCTCACAATGTTACAAAACAAAATGTATTTGTGTGCATTTGTTTGATGGGTTTTCGAAGCGCACGTATCTATATATATATACAAAATGTCTCAACGACTACGGTGATCCTTCCCACTGTCTTCGGTTCCGCTTTCGTATCTTCGCCTTTGCTCACCTCACCTTCAAAGGATACTTGCACTATTCGTGATCAATATAACATATATATATATAAATATTGGAATCCGAACCGTATAAAATAGTCGGTAATCGTACTTATAGTATATTGTGTATCTACTAATATAAACGACACCTCACCCCCATTCTCGTTAGAATTATCAGTTACCACTACCAAAATACACGTTCACGCATTGTTCATGCATTTTGGGTACGCTCTTAAATATCGGTACATTGGTTTTCGTGGAACATTATTTACGGAGGTATTCGATAAGAGAGTTTTCCATTGAGACCGTTTTACTACCTCTGTCATAGTGTTGGTTCACGTTTTCACATGGATGCACCAAACGAAAAACCCCCCTCGGTACACATTGTTTTCGTGCATCGACCGTAAAGTAGTGTAATTCGTACCACGTAGTAACACATACTTACAAATTTTAAATTTAACCTATAAATACTTGAAATAAATCTTAATTCAACTAACAATTTTAAAAATTTGATAAAATCTTTTTTTAATAATTATGTACTCAATAACATTTTTAAGTTTTATTGGAATTTAAACTGATAACTAACAAAATCGTTTGGGCGTAAACATATTATTTTTTTAAGCACATTTATTTAGACTAATGTACTATGTATTGTGCAAAAATTAATCATTCGAGTATTATGACGTGCATAGCCATTAGCCGTGCATGTGTTCTAAAATATCAGTCACAGTTCGATGCGTTCTTATTATGACCAATCGTAAAAAACTGAAATTTATAAGAGTAAATAATAGAAATTAATGATGTATACACATATTTTATGACAAATGTTGGATGAACACGCTAAATTACTTTTGAGATTAAACGATGTAACGATATGCTTAGCGTTAATACCTTGGTAAAATTCTCATAATTTCTAATTGCTCAATTTTAATTTATTTTTATTAAAAAATAATATTAAACTTATATTATGTTGAAAAATAAATTATAATTATAATTTATCCTTTTCGATTAAATTTAATCTATCAAATCATATAATATGCTTATCGAGATGACATGCACTTCCGAAATTGATTGAAACATAAGTTTAAGTTTGATAATCCCTTTTAAGAATAATGTATTAATATATGGGTGTTTTTTAACAAAATATTAAATTTAATAAATTAATAAAAGAGTGTATTTTGTAAAACTTATTCCAGCTTTAACGCCCGTGTAGCAATATGTAACATTATTTTTATTTTTAGATATACCATTACTCTAATGATTTACTCAAACGTACAGCATCTTTTATATGAAAATTTCTAAGGATTTAAAATCCTTAAAAGATTATGTTCACGCTTAAGACTTTGCAAACACAAAAGTATTATTTTTTTAATGGGAAACGCGCACGTCGTCTTTATGGAAACGGACCTCTTATTAATAAATTCACTGTGAGATTTAATAATGCATAATTTAATTGTTTGAATACCATTTCATAATATTATAATATTATGTTAAAAAATTATAATAGTTTTTAAGTACAAATCAATGACTGATATTTAAATTGTTTTAAATATCGTATAAATAAAATCGTAGACCTACTACTAATATACAGTTAGCACATGCGCGTATATTGTGAACAATATTTATTTATTTACAATATGTATAAACTAAAACAATTAAAATAACTGAATTTATTTCAATATACCAGTGATAAAAACAGTATTGCGATTGTTAATTGATTTTTATGGATTTATACGTTTCGACAAATCAATTTACACATCATATGCCGTATGTATTTTTTATTTTTTTTTTTATTAAATTTCTGACCGAGAACCAATAAATTTTAAAAATATCATTTTAGCAAATATACAAATTATTTTTACAAAAATTATATGAGGACTATAGTTATCACCAACGGAACATGAATATAATTATATTTATTTTTAATTAAAATTTATTATAAGGTATAATGATTTATTACTAACTGTATCGATTTGTTACCACGTTTGTTTTCTACCGGATTTTGATGATTAATTTTGGGTTTCAAAACGATATTCATTAAAGCATTTCACAACGACCAGCAAACAAAACAAAACCAATACATCAAAAACTGATGGTCATCTTAACAATGATTGTAATTATAAAAATAATAATACTAATTGTATGTGTTTGATGGATTTTGCATAGGCATAGACACCGCAACAATAGACGGTCATCGGATAACGAGAGTGAACAGTCGGGCCGATCGGGCAAGTCGCACCGGAAGCACAGACACCGGAGCCGGAAGTCGTCGACGGGTGACGACCATGAGCACAGGAGGCACAGGTATCAGCTGGTGGAGTCAGAGGGACAGTGGCGGGAAGTGCAGCGAAGGCAGGCTGAGGGAAGGTCGGCAATACAAAAGGCGTCAGTGGTTCGGCCTCGGTCGGGCTATGCGAATAGTGGGCTTGAGTCCGAGAGCGAGATTTCTCACCATTCGTCGTCGTACCGGAGACGGAAACACCGGAAACATAGGTAATAACACCGATAATGATAATGATGATGATAATTATATTCCGTTTTTATTACTTCGTAGAAAAGTTAATACAATAATTCAGTTGGATATTATAATTTCGAATTATATTTTTATATTTTTGAATTTTCAAGTAATATTTATTAATGTTTTTTTTTTCTGGAAAATGTAGTGACAGGTTAAGGACTTAAAAGCTAATAATCTTATGGTTTTGAAAATGAATTAATATTTTTAGTTTGTTGTTGTCAATACTACTTGTTTTGGTGAACACAAATATTAGTGAAAAATATCGAAACTTAAGTTTGAAAAAAATATATTAAAATGTCTTATAATAATTTATTTAATTATATAATATATTATAGTTCAATCATTTAAAAATAACAATCAAAAGTAGTATATCATATTATTTTTGATCAGTATTTTTATCTATTGACAATCGCTATTGATATCAATAATGATTCAAAAATAATTTCTATTTACCCAAGTTAAAGGATTGATTTGTTTGGCATTCATTACTTAAAAATAAATTTTAAAATGTAATAGCTATATTTTTATTATAATTTATATTGCCCGGAAGAGCAATCATTATTAAAACGAGAAAAATATGATTAAGTATTAATTTTAAAAAAAAAAAACTTCAAACTTTAGTTGCTAAAATGTTTTTGATTTTCAAGCACATATGTACATCAAACAGTTTTTTTATTGCATTGTATTCACTGTCATTAAAAAAACAAGATAATATTTGTTGTGTATCCTCGTGTATAGGTATTTTGTTTACTATAGATATACAGATCGATAGTAGGATCCCAAATATATTGTAGATATAATAATATTCTCTCCTTGAGTTTCCGGTTTTCGGGTCACTGGCTTTACCTCTTTTCAACGTTTGATTACTTGCCACAACGTCGGAAGTCATGTGTATTGGTGATTGGTGAGCGGTCGACCGCAAGTCGAAAAGGGGTTTCATACAAAACTGGACGTTTTATGTATTTTACCTACGTGATCCGATTGTAGCGTTTGTATTAAAATGTCATTAAACACATTTCTTGTCAAATTGCTCGCTGCAGAAATATCTATATAGTTGTGGCTTTAATATTTAAACGTATATCATAAGTCTAGGTCAAATAAATAGTTCGATATTTTTAGTAATATTTAAAGCCTATATAACTCGTTATACTATTACTTACTTACATTAACTAACTGATATTTTACAATAATAATTATATTAAAATAAGTGCTCGTTAATAAGTTGATCGAAGACTCATTATACATTGTGAAACTAACTATATTTGATATTTAGTCCACTTTTTCAACAAAGATAAATAACACAATTATGATAATGTGTATAGTATAAGTACCTACACATACCTCACAGTCCTCGCTTATGTATAAGCTGTAGGTGGTGTTTGAAATATAATGCTAATATGCTATGATCGATTGATTAATTTGTGCAGATCGCGATCCCGATCGCCGTCAGAGAGTAACAGCAAGACGCGTCTGCCAGAGGAGCTCAAAAAACATTTAGAATTCGAACTGGTCGAAACGGACGGTATGACAGAAGAACAGTTGCGAGAAATACCGTACACGGCGGTGAAGACATCTCTGAAGACCAATAACTCGTCGCCACCCCTGTCGTCCAAACGAAAAACTTATTCGTCTCGGAGAGCCAAAAGGTCGGTATAAAACGCTGCGTATAACATCGCATAATGTATTATGTATCGTATGAGTGAAAAAAAATTACCGTAGATGTAGTTTTTTGTTTTCTTTCCCCTACCTATCTATATTATTTACACTATTAGCACACTTGCCTCGCCCTTGATTGCACGACGATCGTGCATTACGACAATATAGTAAAACCGTACACGATGACTACAGTAATACACACTTGTTTTATTATAAGAGTGTTGAATATGTTTTTTAAAGACACAATAATATATATTATACCCACTATTACTATACCAAGGAAATGGGAATGAAAAAAAAAATGTTTTAACTATAATTACTATAAGCATCCATCCCAGTTGAAGTCATTCAACTACCTATAGTGGTGTTCAGTATTTAAATTCTTTTTTCAGTTTAGAATATTTTTTTTTTTATATATTATACAATGCAGTAGGTGTTTTTAACACAATTTTGAAGTCATGAATACTATGTATTCAAATTTTTATTTTTATTTCCTGTACAAATTGTCAAACAATTTCCCTATAACTGTCGATGAGTATACAATTTTCAAACGCCAACCAATGTAAAATATGTAAATTAATCGAAGTTACTTAAAATTATCTTAAACGTTATATGTGATATATTGTATGGCGCTTGTTAAAATAATTGTAGTATAACTGATAAGTTATTTTTTTCTTTTTTATATTTATACTAAAAAATATTTGAAGTACTTTGTAGAAGTTTCCGGAGAAAAAAGTCACTATAAAAAAAATATTATAAATAAATAATTCAGTGTATTTTAATATTGATACGCTAAACAACAAAATAATAATAGTTATGAATTAAACATAGATATTTAACTTTTATTTTGTAATAAAAAGTGACTAAAAATTATTATAACTTTGTTCGCTGTAATATAAATTGATATATTTAACGAAATTCTTAACAGTTTAACATAAACAGCATAACTCATATAAAAATAAATATAATTTACCATCAGATATAATATTATGTAATATATTCAAATTTTAATATTTGTAAAACTGTTCTTATTACATATAGTAGTATTTTTATTTTTTATTCATTTATTTTTTTCAATACCTTTCAATTTTACAATAGGTAAAAGAAATTATAAATAATACATTTTCACTGATTTTTTCCTGAATACTTTTTCTCCGAAATTTATTGGTGGTTTACTTGAAATGATTAATTATATTAATTATTATGCTACTCTATAAAAAAACTTAAAATACGGTATTGCTTAACATATTCATGCCTTACGTTATGTATATGGTAGTTTATTAATACTAACTATGTTAAATCGTATATTGTTGTCACATAATTATTATTTGTTTGTTTTTTTGTCGTTTGTTGCATGTTGCCTACCGTATCGTATCTATTATGATAGTTGTTCATTAAAAGACTCGTCAGTGCCAGAAGCCGGCGACAGTCCTCCGCCGCCGTATAGCGAAGGCCCAGCGGATAAATGTTCGGTCGCTGTCGCCGTCTCCATGCCCAATTCGAAAAGTGCAAATCAGTTACCAAGGTACGAAGAGCTAAAGCCTATTACGAACGGATTTTTTATTTAGCGTACGCCACCGCGCTCTGATAATATATATATATAAATTAACATATTATCATACCTGACGACGAATTTGTAAATTTAAATTTATCAGAATATTATACATTTATACAGTTTTATTAAATTATATTATTAAGTGCCTATAATAGTAATAATAATGATAGTGATTTAATGACTGGTGTAATGATACGAAGGCAGTATTATTTTACTGTATTGTGTCGTTCAATACAGTGATATAAAATACATAATATATATTCTATAGGTACACGATATTATTTTATTTTAGTTAATTACAACACGTCCACAATGATTTTAATTAACAGAGCTTTAGTGAACATGAAAGCACGTCGTTTATTTTTTTATACCCAATGATATTAAGATATAGTTAAGTTAATTGAATTCTGTATAATATTATTTATTAGGCATTATTATATTTGTATGTATAAAAAGAAAATCAATTTTTTTGATGGTGAGAAAAACGAGAAATGTATTTTAAATGCAATTAAAAGAAAAAAAATGTATAATATTATAATTTATTCTCAGGGGTTGGTAGGATTCGCTCTTGAAAATTATTGTGACATGACATAATTATTTTGTTTCAAATGAGATTATAACGTGAAACAAAAATGTTTGATGTTCTTGGAAAAAAGATATCTTAAGCAGAATAAAAGAAAAAAAAACATCATTACTTCTGACCACTGTGAGTCGTAAAGTATTATGTCGATCCGTTACAAAATCGTTTAATTTATTTTATAACATAAAACCACTGCAATTGACGTTAGCAAAAATGCGCCGTTGACGGTCCCGCCGACTAGGGTCGAATACTTGAATCTGATTTTAAGTTTGTTTTTACATTCGATAGAATGGTTTCATTGGTTTTGGTTCAAAATATCGATTTTCGGGTGTTTATAATATTTCCAACCAAACAGATAAACCTTCGCAATAATCAGGCGCTACAACACTCGTCAACAACACGATAGACGTTCTGAACACGTATAAAATCGAAAATAATATTCCAAAATCGCCATTTTTGTTGTTCAATAACATGTTTTTGTGTAAAACTATTATTTTTTATTTGAGTTTTCATAAATATTTAATTTAATTTGTCAGTATTTAAAAATATACATTAATGAACAATTGTAAGTTTACTTGTAGAAGCTTATAGCACCAATAACTCATTTGATGGCCGATTTGTTGTTTTTCTGTTCTTGCCTGTGCCAAAAGTTAGTGTACAATTTGTTAGCATTTAATTTTAAATTATCTTTAAAATTTAAGTTAACCATGTTTTTTTATTTATTGAGGCATGGTAAAACTCCAAAATTTAGAATTGTCAAAATATTGATTTTTTAAAAGAGACGATTTTCGGTATACCTTTTTTAAAATTAATAGGTATAAAATAACCGAATATAATGAAAAATGAGTTATAACGATTCAAATACAATAGAAATTTATTTTTTAAATGCATCAAACCCATTTTTTAGCATTTTAAAGTTTAATATAAATTAATGCGTTCTATATTCATTCATTTCATAACAATTATTGTTCGTTTTGAATTCATTATTTATTTCTTTTATACGTACCTAGATACCTTACAACCATTTAAACTATAGTACGTTTTTGGTCTAATACAGGGGAGAAGTATTATTTAATAGCCTTCGTTTTAATTGATTAAATACCATTTTTATACATAGAAAATGTCCAGTTTAAATTAACCAATGATTTAAAAAAAAAATGATTTGATTAGATAATAGTAATGATAATATTTTAAACCTGTTCTCACAACACCAATTGACTTTTCTTTGGTTTTCTATTAAAACAAATTCTATCTAACACGATTTAATACATTTTAATAATAAAAAATTTTAGATCTCCACTCTTCAATTGAAAGTTTTATGAATTTGATAAACATTTTGGTTTCAGTTAGCAGAATTAAAAAATGTTATTCAGTTAAAAAAAAATTACAATTTATACTTATAAATATATCAATTAAACAACTTGTCAGTTATTAAAAAACTTAAATTTTTAATTTGAGTGGTTAACTGCACACAACTTTTTTATTGGCTTGAGTGAGTATTATTATTTTCTATGTTATCTTTGTGTTCCACGCACAATGTCGATTCATAAAGCAATCATATATCTCATTATCGTACAAAATATTTAAAGACGTAAATATAATTTTTCATTTCAAATGTATTCGGTCGACAGCGATATGAGAGAGAGATTATATTCCGTCGAAAAGTATTATAATATTTTTACGGTAATATATAGTTAAAATACAACGTATAATAATACAATTTTACAAAATAAAGAATTTTTCTTTGATAAATCGGTTCCACCACAGCGTTCTTTTTAATAAATTAATTGGTAGGTACACAAACCAATAACAACAAACAGAGAACCTTATTATAATCTCGTTTTAAGTTTTCGCATCATATTACTTGTATAATTATTTAAATATTATTTTGTTGTACAGTACTAAAATAGAATAATAATTCTTGTTATGCAGTGTTCATTGCGAAATTTGTTGCCATAGTTACAGAATATAAAAGATGTTTTGTTTGACTAGATAGATTTTTTTTTTTTTTTTGATTCAGATGAATAAGTGTTTTTTATTATCCACGCGAAATAATCATCGTGGCCTATATTTTATTACGTTGTAAACATTCGAGAACTTTAATTAAATATTATTGTAAAAAATAAACAAATAAATATTACAACGTAACGTCCATTAATTATTAAATATTTTATCATTTCAAACAAAATATATCGTAGTTATCCACATAAATCACGTACGAAAACATGCAGCCGCGATCCATCGTGGAGTATGTTTTATTGCGTATTTGTGTGTTAAAATCTCAATTAAAAAGAAACTTGAGTAAAATAGGATACCTACATAAGAAAACTTAGTCAATATGTTGATCTGTTTTAAACAATTTATTATTACAAAACAATTTTCATACAATTAAAATCGATTAAGACAAAATGTGCGATCTGTTGTAGTTTTTGGCAACATATTAGTTATTAGTTTATTACCGATTTATAATTTATATTACTCAAATTTTTATTAATTGTCTGGAAAGTCGAGAAGAAAAAATTTAAATTTTCAAGCATTTTAAAAATGTAATTGTGCAAACGGCTGTTTTCGATTTTTGATTAAAAAAAAAAAAAAAATTATACGCTGCCAACTTATAATTTTTATTACTCTGGTTTAATCAAATAGCATTGAAAAATATTGATTTTTTACCTATATATGGAAGTTTTGGTGCATAATATATATATATATTATATTAAAATTTTTATCAGGTATGACTATTGAGTCTATTTATAAAATACTACCCATGGTCATTTGCCAATTCTGGATAAAAAAATAAACTATGTAGTTATTCGGCAATCGAATAACATGGAATAACGTATTTAAAAACGATAGGTTTTTAATAAAAATACATATTTAATTGAAAATAATATAGATTTAAACATCGTGCATATTTATTATTTTTTGTGTTGTCGATCCAATTTTAACTATAAAACTTTAACCCATGTATAGGTAATTAAATTTAATAGTTTTCTGTGATTAATTAATTTAATAATAACTTATAAAATTTGTTTATTATTATTAACAAAATTCAGCGAATGTATAATGTACTTAAGTATTTTAATGCTTAAACCTTATACATTTTAATCGTCTAGTTTTTTAGCGACTTATCTTAGTATTAGAACTTTACTCGTGAACAATCATTACCGGCTGGAATCTATATTAACAGCAAAGCTGATAAACGAAAAAAAAATTATATCTATAGATTAAAAAAAAAAATAATAAATAAATAACGATTAAATACTTAAGTTTATAAAGTCAATGATATCAAATAGCAATCGATTAAGGCTACAACTAAGTGCTTAAGTATGCAAATCGTTTTTTTTAAATTTTAATTACAGCAATAGAATATACTTGTAGAAAATAAACTTTTAACGATTTTTTTTTTTAATAAACTGCGAGAAACAAACTTTTACGCACGATAGCATGCACAGCATTAAAATTTGAGAAACTTTTTTGTCCTGTTCAAATAATATACCTTGTCATTTTAAATAGTCATAGGTCTTATTTTTTGTTGCGTTTAAAATTAATCTTTAGGGCTTTTGTAGCTGTATTGATATTGTATGATATGTATTGCGGTAAAATTCATCTTTTGTATAGTATAATTAATACGTATTCTGTGCACATTAAAAAGTACCCTCTTGTAAAGACGAGACACGTTTTATATTTTACACTTAAATACTTTCTCGTCTTAAAAAACACTTAAGAGAAACTTTTAATATTGTATTGATTTTTTTTCTCACAGCTCGTAAGAAACTTATGAAGTCAGGAAATTGTCAATCATAACGATCAAACTATACGATAACTTTTTACTCAGTGTATATTATACACGTATATTATGTATTACTATAATGAGTATCCAAACTTTAACGTTAAATACATATTTTTTTTTTATAGCAAGTAGTATCATACAATTTCTTTCGAGTTGAAAATTCAACGCGTGCCACAAAAAATATCGTATAAGAATTACGTGTTTTACTTTGATTTTTTTTGACATTTTTGTTTTTGTGCTTTTAAGTGCATATTAATTATACATCAAAAAAGTATCAGTTTAAAATGATGGAAAAAAATATTGATTTAACAAACTTTTTTTTGTACTAATCTGTCTACACATTTTGTTAATAATGTTTAAAATTAATTTGCTAATACGTGGTATCTATCACATTATTACTATAGAATTAATTTAGATAAGACACTTTTTGTACGTGTCTGATTTTAAGCCCGTTTAATAATTACAAAAATAGGTCATTTTCGACTGATATTAGAATAACAGTATTCTTTAAGTCCGTGGTTCCAACATTTTTTAATTAAAATAATGCTATCATTTATTATGTTTAATAAAAAAAAAATCAACGTTTTTGCTATTTTTATAAAACATTCAAAAAATATCGTATGTACCTACGTTTTTTTGCAATTTATAAAAACGACTTTCAATGAGTTTATAATGAAAGGTGAAGTTGTGTTGTTTATTTGAGATTTATTTTGGTAAAAAAAAAATATACCAAAATTTGTTATTTTAACCACTTTGGTTGATTGTGGAATTAACGGGTAAGGCTATGGGGTGGAAATAAAAACGCATAACGATCCGCGTAAGTTTATTTAGCGGAAGAGACTTTTAGGACACACACACACACACAAACACCGTACACTAGTGAATATAATAATATTGTAAATCTGTACACATAAAAATAATATTATTTATGGTATAATGTTTTCGACTGTCACGTACTGTCTGGCTCCACGGTTTCCGCCGAGTCCATCTAAAACAAAACGATCGTAAAAATTGGTCTTTAAGAAGACGCCTCGCCTGTATGGTCCTCCGTTTTCCAAACGTACTACGTTAGAAATTTTCGTACCTCAGAATCGAGTTCGTACTCTAAACTTTAATGTTGGTTTTATACGATATTTCGAATATTATTAAGTTGGCCAGGAACATTTTTATAATATTCTAATAACGTACAAATTTATGGTTTACTTTAAATTTTAAATATATCGTAAAAACTCGACGTACAAACGCAGATAATTTTCTTACTAATTGTAAGTCTAATGATTGATCAATTATTGTGCAATATATAACAATACAAAATTGTTTCAGCTGATTGCAATTTTAAAATTTACATTTGTACGTTTGTAAGACGGAGACGCACGTACTGGGGAAGCGTCTTATTGGCGACGGTGAAAAAATGTATTTATCACTTATCCATTGTTATATTTGTTTGCAGGACACAACAATCCAACCAAAGCGGACTGACGACGACGAGGACAAGTGCTGACCCCAATTACAGGGCTACGTGCTCTGCACTATACGCCAATCCATCGGCATTGCATGTGGGCTCGGCAAACAGCTATCGTCATTCTAGTCAAGACCAACGGAACCTCATGAACCATTCCCGGTGGTGAGCATTACATAATAATAATAATAATAATAATAATAACAATTATAATAATAGTAACAATTGTAATGATAAAAACAATATAAACATTATCGTACTTGAAGTATGGAGTTAGTATTAAGGAATTATAAAACAGTCCTCATACAGTCGAAAATGATTGTAACTCTCCAAATTATCTGTATCCGTATACAATACAATATTATATTATTTTTAAATTTAGGATATATAATTAACAATTGATAAAAAAATTAGTGGTTCATTATTTAATTTCTCAAAAAATAAAAATATATATTTTTTTAGACACAGATATAAGTACTTAGAGGTATATTTATCTACATGATTGCACTAAGTGAATAAATAATTGGTACACTTTAATACAATTTAAGTTATTAATAATTTTTTTTTTTTTTTAAATTTTTAACGGTTTTTTTTAAGTTGTTCACTCGTTGTGACCTAATATATTTCTTTCATTTCAGATAAACCATTAAAAACATATTTTTTTTAGAAATTATTAGTTTTAGATAATTATTTTGTAACAAACAAAACTTTTATTACTTTAAAAATAAAACGAATCTCATAAATTTAAAAACAAGATAATTAAATAAAGTAACTATTTCAAAAAATGTATTATAACCAGAAAAATTAGCACGCTTGGAAAATGATATCCTTTGTTTAATAAATACGCCCTAACAATCAGTAATAGTTATTCTATTTTTGAGAACGAGTAATGGTTTTATTTTTCACATTTACGACTTAAAACCAACTATCTATTTTGTTTATTATATCTAAACCTTTTTATGTTTTTATGCTTTAAGCTGGTTTTATATATTTTTAGATGGGCGGGTTTCACAATCGAATCTAGACGTTATTATTATTATTATTAAAAACAATTTGTAGTTAGACATCGAGATACGTTTCACGGAGTAGACGTTCAAAACTAGAATAAATATTTTTTAATAAGCGTTTATTGATGTCTTGTTATAGGTTACACGATCTCGAGCAGAAAGACAATGCGCATAATAGGAGAACAGAAAACCTGATGCGAGACTTCCCTTACAATTCATCCAGGTCGTCGACAAATAGGTGAGCTAATAATAATAAAGCAGTCTTGGTAATTCAGCTGCTTTTCTGCGTTTTTTTTTTTTTATTTAACAACGGCTTATGAATAATTAATAAAACTACTAAACTCTGCAACTGAAAATGTCAACAAACCAGTATTGTTGGATACCTATTAAAAAATACCAATGTAAAATCAGCAAGATTCTCAATAAGCCTGTTTGATATTTGCAATCGTTTATCATTATGGTATATTATGTCCAACACGCATTACCTACCCATTTTAATTTTACTGACTCGTTTGACTGAATGATATAGTAAAGCAAAATAAACACGTCATGATGTGATTTCGACGTACTTTGGATATTTTGCTCAACACCGCCTAACCGTGTTTTTCCATTTTCCACAGCAACGGCACCGAACGACCCTCTTTGAACGTGACCAAGTCAACGCCACCGCCGTGGTCTAGTCAAGAAATTCGCGGCACCCTCGGTGGCGGTAGTGTTCCTTGGCAGTGCGTCCCGGACAACATATACCCAGTTAGCAGTTACGGGCCACCCAAAAACATTAACCAGGCGGCGTATCAGAACCGGAGCAACAACAACCCGGAAACGTGTACGACGTCGGCGGTAGTCGATACTAACCGGAACAACTCGATCGGGATGACGATGACAACTGACGACACTAAGACCACAGCCTCTTCCGCATCGACCACGGTCGGGCAGTCGATCAAGTCCAGCAAATCTTTCGAGAGCGGCGTACTAGGGCAACATGCCAATACTCCTAATGGCGTTATTCCGTGGCCGGGCGACAGAGGCAAACCCAGACCGTCGCAACAGTGGGATCACCATAACGGTTCGTCGTCGTCACCGCATCACAACCTCCACCATCAACAGCATCACCAACAACAGCAACACAACGGATCGTCCCCGTACAGTGGCGGTGGCGGAGGTAGTGGTGAAAACCTATACCTGGGAAACAGATCCTCGGGGATTCGCACTTCTTCCAGGGGCGGTCCGACGTACTTTTCACCACAACACAACCACGTGAGTGTTAACTGCACTGGAGTCTCAATCGATCAATTAGAATTAATCTTTCATTGTGATTTATACTATTTTTTTAATGATGTCTACAATTTCTTAATCGAGAGACATCCTCAACTTCCGTTTCTCATCAAAACAGTCTACAATTTATAAAGTGATTTTAATCACGTCCACATATTTTTTTTTTTTTTATGAAATTGTGAGTTTGTTTGAATTTTGATTTCCAATTAAGTATAAATACTTAAAGCATGTATTTTCAGGTTTTCTAGTAAACTTTTTGGCATTCATAAGGATTATCCTGAAATAAATAATAATAAAACATGTTATTCACAAGAGTTCCTCACTGATTTTTTAATCGAATTATTTATTGCTGTACAGTGGATAATTTTTATTTAAACAATTTCGATGCTGATTGTATTTAAGTTAGAACGAATAGTTTTTAATATAATAATAGTATTATTAAATATTTAAATAGAATACTACAATAGTAATTTAACATGGTAAAAAATCTAATTATTTAAAATATAATCTTTAAGGATAAAAACTATTGAAATCTCAAAAATATTTTAAGAACTGTACACGTGTGTGCTTAAAAATCGTAATTTATGTTAATATGTCTATACGGTTCAATCGTAAAATAATGCATAATATTAAAAAACCTATGTGAAATGCGAAAATAATCGTTTTATTTATTAAACCACTTATATAATTTTAGGTGGACAGACTATCGAACTCCGAGCTGAGATCGTCGGCCAGTCTCGAAGAGATCCTTTCTCCGATCCTGCAAAGCAAACTAACCACGTGTGAGTATTACTCCGTTATGTATTTTGAAACACAATATCGAAAAATAAAGCACTACTTTTTAGTTTTTACGATTTATTATGGGTTTAATATAAATCAGTAATAATAATCGATTGATTTTTTATTTGTTTCCAAACAGAATCTCGCGAGGACGCAAACTACAAATGTTTCGATACGATATTATTATCATCGTTATGAATTCCGATTGAAACACAACAAGCAAGCCCCGGAAAATCAATTATGGTCGCCAATTGGGAGACGACACGCCACGCTGGCTTCTTTTTACTTGTATATATTTATCATTTTATCATAATTTTTTTCATTTATATGACGCAAGCGCGCACTCACGCACGCACACATAAGCCATATTATATTGCATTTATATATTATACGATCGTGTACAGTGTAAAAAGAAACGATTTATCTCATCACTACGTACATACCTATCGTATACGTATATAATATATTTATATATATAATCTACACATATTATAGGGAAACTTTTTGGAGAATATAATATATCCATGTACACGAGCGCGAGTTTTCTTCTTCTCCGTTATTATTATTATTTATTCTTTTCACTTTTGAGAGAAACCGTCAAAGGGCGTCGATAAGTCTGAGTTTTTATTAAATATATATATATATATTTATTTTTTTTTATGGTCCCTATTTTCTTATCCTTCTCTTATTCTTTTTTCGATATTCTCGCCGTTTTCTCTCGTTTCCCGACGGTATATAATATATTATTATTATTATAATCGTGTCTCAGTTGCGCTCGTCGGGTTTATATAAATATAGTACTATACCAAAGCTCAATATTATGATCAACACATGTGTTCCGCGCATATTATTATGTATACATTATTACATTTATTATTATTAATTATTTCTATTTATTATTAGTTGCGTACGACGCTTGTCTTGTAAGTACGTGTAATTTAATTTAACGAAAATGCGTTCATTTTTTACTTGACTACTATTATACTATTGTATTATTTGTATTATATATTACTATTATATTGACAAAAAGTGTGTTTTGACGCGTGAGGCTGTACCTCTATTCATTTTTGTTTGTTTATATTTCATTTACAAAAATAAAACGATTACAATAACTTATCAAAATATAATATTATATTGTATATTATTATATGCGTGTAAAAAAAACTCACATAATAAAATATTATTGTGTTTTGTATTTCTGATAATAATATTACATTATATATTTATAAAGGCACTCAACAATTATATCGAAATTCAAACGAATTATTTTTTTTTCTGATCGTGATGTCAAAATTATTTTGTTTTATTTTTTATTTATTTTTTTCTGTAAAATAAAAAACAATATTTGTACTGATAATCAAATACTACTTTATTTTGTTTATTTGTTTCGTTGTTGTTTTATTTTATTTATTTATTTTTTTTATATACCATTAAAAACGTAAACACTTTTGGCGGTCTCTATAGCGCAGAGAAATATATTTGCACTTTTGTATTAACCGTATCGTTTGTCGTGTTGTTTTATCTGTTTGCAGTGGAATCCATAAATAAGTTAAATAATGGCATATTATTATTGTATTATATAATATATAATAAAATAATATTATATTATATTGTTTGTTCGTTTTTGTATTCGTTGTTCATACCGTCGTCGACTTCGGATCCTGAACGTTTGCTGGACGTGACAAACTCCCAAATATTTTGGGCCATTTCGCAACCTCTGACATCCTTGTACGAATGTGCGGTTACTTCGTATTCCTGCGAAAAGACAAATGTATAAATATAGCTTGTTTTCAGATAAACGTTTTGCTTGACAACGTGAAATTTAAAAAGTAGTTTAAACTACTGTCACAACGACCAAAAGATAATATCACAGTGAGCGATTCGATGATGCGAGTTCATAACAATAATACAGTTAAAACAAGTATTGCCCCGCCACAATAGCAGTAAATCTTATCGGATTGCATTTAATCAACCTAACCTAATCGCTGTGGTGTGTGTATTTGTTTAGGTTTTATAAGAAGTAATGATATGGTACCAATTATTATATTATCATTATTCATTGTACGAGCTGATTTTGTGTGACATTGTTCGCGACCGATTAAATGATTACTACATTACCTCTGATGGTAAAATTCATATAATATTATGTACAATTTAGTGAATATTACAAATAATACTTACAATTAAGGTTAGAATATTTACGAATTTATAGATGTATTTATTTATTATTTGGTTGTGCGTTCTGCAGACTTAATATAAATCCGTTTGTTATGACGTAAAATCAGTTAGGTGACATTTTACTACATATATTTGTGTATTAAATATCAATTTATTTTTAACAATTTTTATTTTATTCTATAGGTAGTTTTATTTACAACATTGCTAATCAATTTTCTCAGATTTTGGATTTCAAAAAACATTTTTTAAAACTTTTAAAAAAGAAATTCACCTTCAGACAATATTTGTCGGTATCCAATTAGCAGGTAGATCAACTCTAGAATAATACAACTTTTTAACACATTTTATAATATCATATTTAGTTGTTTTTATGGCATACTTTGATATATTTTCCGGGAATATTTGTATGCGTTTTTTAGAGCCCTTGAAGTCATGCCAACCTTACTTTTATAATAATTAGGTAACTAATTTAGTATGTTAAATTTATTTTTCTGCTTATTTTACCTTTATAAATCTTTATAATATTACATTATATTATATATATATTAATATTTATTCTTGGGTCTTTCATCACGTTGATTAATTAAATCGATGAATTCGAAATATCTGATCCCAAAGTCAGTACAAAGTACAGTAAATATATTATGGAAAGACGATATCGATGTGTGCCATAACGATTCGTCGATATCGTAGGGGTAGGTCATCACGCCCACCGATCCGTTCTATTCGTCCTCGTCCAGATCGTAAATTACAATATTTCGCGCGGCGAGTAGGTTGAACTACAAAATGATAACTATTAAATATCGTGTGCGCACAAATAAAATATTATATATATTATATACATACATAATATGAATATATTGTAATCGACGCGCTTCCCATTGTGCCATATTTTATAAAAAGTAGATACGCGTATATTACGCGCGTGTATGTGTGAGTGTGTTATAACAAAACGAGTGGGTTCGCGGGGTTGAAAAGGTCTTTGGCATTGTGTCGGACGAGCGACAATTGCGGAGCAGCAGAGTAATACGCTTCTGCGCGATTATAATAGACGAATATCGTTGACGGTAGTGCTGTAGTTTTCCGCCAAGAATTATAATAATAATACATGATTATTATACGATACAGTTATACAGGGTGATTCGTCGAACGCGGTTGTCCAAAGTTTTTTCTCATTTTTCCGATGAAATCATTCAAATTCTGGTTTATTAGATTTTTTAATTTTTATTTACCTATTGCGGTTTGTTACAATAAAGATCGTATTTTCAAATAATTGAAATTTCTTTTACACGGTTTAAGGAGTGTCCTGCGGCGAATGAACTATATTCTTATTTTTAAACGAGCGTTACGCTTTCTTATAGTTCAATGTTAGGGGGAGCGAGTATTTGAGTATCATAAGGAAACAGTCCATAATAAATCTTGTTTAAAAACTATACTCATTTATCTAAATGGTTTAGTTCTTAAAAAATGACCGAGTATAACGAGACGTACTAGATGGTTAAATGGGACATTAGATAACTTGAAAATTATAAAATTTATTACTGCGGTTAGATAATTGTATTGTTGTTTTAGAGACTAAAAATTAAATCCGTTTTAAATTATATGTGAAAACAAGAGTAAAACTATAACTGTGTGATTTGTTCGAATTTCGATTTAGATGTACCAAATTTTTCAATGAAATTACACGTCTTGATAATTTATAATTTTCGTAGAAAAGAACGATGGTTTTCATTAAAAAAAAAAAAACTTATCGCCACAGGATACTACTTAAATAATATAATACGTGGTTATTTTAAATTTCAAAAATCAGAATTTTGACATGTTATGTATTACGAATGGATTAAAATAATATAGTCTGGTGAGAATTTATGGCAAATCTCTCTGTATACATGGTTTAATGTCTCATTATGAATACAGGGTGGCCATTCTAATAATAGCGATCTCGTTACAAAATCCACTTTACGCAGCGCCTAAGTGCCTTTATAAGTGTTTGCCTGTAGTATGGAGTGTTTCATTGTGGGTCGATTTTTCAATCCGTACAGCATAATAATACACATCTTTGTGCGCACTATAGACATGGCCAATATCATCTTTTTGATCGATATCTAATGTACAAAACTGATAAGTTATTGATTATTAATTAAGATCGATAACGTCATGATTGTTTTATCTCGATGAATTGACATTATAATATTATATTGGCACGAATATATTTAAAGTATTTTACTTTTACTAATATTCGATTTCATAAATAGTTTATTAAAAACGTTTAACAAGAAATAAAAAAAAAAAAATGGTATTTATTAGATAGAGATCCGCGTACTATATTATATATAGCCCAATGTAATATTTAATTTTTGGAAATTGCATACAATTTTCCCATCTAAAGTATAGATTAAATTAAAACATAGATTATGATATAAACTTAAACTATTATTTTGATAGTCGACTAATCTTAAAAGTTTAAACTTTTAAATTTTATTTTTATTGCATGATGTGTTCTATTTCAATCAAAGTGCTAAATACCATTTTAATTTTTACAACTAATAATGTCTTTTTTCTTAGAAGTACAAACTATACCTACTACGTCTCAATAATTAAATAATTTGTTCTTGTTCGTATAAACTCTATATTTCCCGCATAATCTGTAGCAGTGCATAATAATGACAAATATTTAACTCATATTTCAAACAAATAAATATTTCTTTGAACTCTATGACTTTTTGACTTTTTTGTTAAGAGATGAAAACTTTTGAAAAATTTTTTGTGGTAACACGCGTTTACAGTTATAGGTATGCTTAATAGATACAATGGCGAAAAAATAAAGGTTATAATGAGATTCAAATTATCTAAAAAATTATCTGAATTTGGTTAAGTCCGTGGTTAGGTTAGGTTTTACGTTATATTTTAATTGGTACAATAAAAGTCGATCTATTTATATTATTAAAATAATTTTTGACTAGTTTATATCCACCACAATCGAAAATAAAGTTATATTGTCGTCCAGATAATATATATATATCATTGATTTAATTTATACCTTTAGATAATATTATATTCAATAAACAAATTGAAGTATTGATAAACACATTTTAAGAATATTAATTTTGGACAAGAAATATTTCATGCTGTACGATATGACACATCAAAAAAAAAAAAAAAGAAAAGTCGTACCTACTCATAATAACGTTCACCGTTCAATCTAGGTAATATAAAATTATTATTTCATAACGATTCGTCATATAAAATCCACGAAGGACGTACTTATCTCTGCGGGATTTTTACCTCGAAAGTCGTTTCTCAACCCGTGTCTCAAATATATAATATAATTACCTACGTATATCATCATACACAACAAATGATTCAGTTTTTTTGGCAATATAATGAACCGAGAAGATGAGTGGCTTACTGCACCGTAGAAAAATCCACCAATGTATACGTATTGTATATAGTGTCGTACGATAATGTATTATTACGGCGGGCTGTCGGCGTGGATAGCAGACAGCAGTGTAGTGTAATTTATTTCGACTCGATGCTCCGTGCTTTTAATCGACGCGATATATTATATTGTCGTCGTCGGTGGCAATGATCGATAAAAGAAAATATAGCCCCTTTGCCCGACGACGCAAATACGATGGACCCGAAGATTTATGGGTTTTCGGGAAATCAGATCGTAATAATACGTACAAACATTCTGTCGGTGCAGTCGTTGGTCCTACCGCAAGATCGATGAAAAAAAAAATCAACAGAAATAATCACAGATCATACATTTCATTAGTCCGGGTGAATTTATTCACTTTTTTTTTTCTTTTTTTTTTTTTTTTTTTTGATTTGTAGTCCACATAGATTATTTGGTTTCAATTTATATAAAAATAGTCTGTGACCGCATAAGACTTTAGAGCTCAAACGTAGATTATTATACTATTACGATTTGATCAAGATAAAAGAATCTACGAGGTTTCCGTCTGCGTCGAAGTCACACCGTTAAGCTTTTTATAGGTCAGCAGTTACGCCGAAGTCGGTAAAATTCAATTTTGAGCTCAATAATTGTAAATTAAATATATTATGAAAATTATTATTTTAAGGCAATGGAACGAAATGCAGAAACAAAATGTTCATAATCAAAATTTCCAAATAAATTTCCCATGAATTATAGTTCAAAAAATATTTTGCTGAACATAATATTGAACTTTTGAGTTCAAGGCAATGTCTCTTATAGAGTTGCATTCGTAGAAAATTCACTTTTTTTAGCTTACCTACTACAAAACATATTTTCCTTAAAATTTGAATTAGCTACTAATTAATTCAGTTTTGAAACTGAATCATGCATTTTTGATTTTTTTTTTAAATATTTTATTTTTATCAACTAAAATTTTTAAATGGGTTTCATACAATTATGAACTATTGTTTAATTTTGGTCTCATAAGAATTATACATGTTGTAATATTATATTTAATTAGGTAATAATTTATTTAATTTAAAATAATTACATTTCTCTTGTTAAGTTTTCATATTTTTTGAGCTATGATTTTTATAAGTTTAGTTATATAAGTTATAACAGTGCATTTTATACTAAA